ATTTTCATACTGTAAATTAATTCTGTAAATTATACATACATGTATATTAAAGGATAAAGAGCTAAACAGATATTGGTCTGGATTTATTCAGCTTCCAAGTTCTTTGCAATGCTGGTCCCAGCAGTATTTTTTAACAGCTTTTTTATGTTGAATTTTAAGCCACATTTCTTGTTCTTTTCCCCCACCTTGAAAACTTTCTCAATGCATTAAAAAAAAAAAAAAACAGAGTACCCTAAAAAACATTTTTAAAAAATCCCCAGAAGAAATCCACTAGTTACATATAAAAATAAGGAGCATTATCTGTGAATGCAGACTAACAGTGTCTTGAAGGCTTTGTAAATGTTCTTCCCCCTTATACTGCATTTCAACACTTTCTGTTTATTATTTATTTTTCTGGTCCAGACTTCCTTTCAGAGACAATCAATATTCTTGTGTTAAGACAACAAGACTATGTATAATTACTTGGTAAGACAGCTCAGGATAGCTAGACTGGGTAAACCAAAAGGAAATACTGGTTTTGCCTTGAGACACAGTAACAGAAATCCAGCTTACGACCAGGCACAGTATTCCTTCTAATAAAACCAAAGATCAACATAAAGAAATCAGTTAAGGTGGGGCACATAAATGCTGATCTATCAGAAGAGCTGAAAATGTTTTTGTAAGAGTCACAGCAATTTTTGCTCTCAGTTGTCATCTATTACTTACCCTACTGTTATAATAATCTTATAATTGTTTTTTAACATTAAGATGCAACACACTTTATGCAACAACATAGAGTGTTCCTACTTCTAGTAAAAGTGGGACTTTTTTACTTATTCTTTACTTTGTATACAGGTATTGCATTTTAAATGTTTTCTTTATTTAAGACATAACAAACATGCCATGTTTGCAGAAAGAGAAACTAAAGATGAAAGCAAATATTTATATAATTTTAATGCCAGCCTCCACTTAATAGAGCAGTATGTGCACGAATGGCATTTTAATAAAGCAGATTACACTGTATCTCAGTGTATACTTTTAAAACATTGAAGATGAAATATTTCATATCACATTATATTTCCCTCCAAGTATACAGCTACAATATTGTAGTCCCACAGCATTTTTAAATAAGTGAATATTGACACTGGCTAACAAGCAAGCATTTTTAAATGTCTCTTTGACACATGAGATCAAGAGGCTACACAAAAACAATGCTATTTGTACTAGAGAATCAAGCATTCAAAACTAAGAGAAACAATGTAGTTTTCCCAGTTAACATTATAACACTTCTGTTTCACCTACCCATCCTGTTTGCTGAAAAAGGTTAAGAGTTACAAAGGACGAGCAGCATCAAATTTAAAAAAAAAAAAAAAAAAAAAAAAAAAAAAAAAAAAAAAAAATTAAAAAAAAAAAAAAAAAAACAAAACAAACAACACACAAGAAATTGAGCACAGTTAGTGCAAGATAACTGACAAAGAGAAGCAGCTGGATTTAGATTGCCAAAACAACCCTAAAAATTAGGATTTCCTGTACTTGAAAATTCTGAACCTGCAGTCTAAACAAAATCCTTCTAGTTTTTTTTTGGTTTTTTTTGGTG